CACCAGCAACCCTCGAAAGTGGCGACAGTTTCACAGATCGCCCCAGAGATGGCGAGGTCTAATCTGAATCCCCGTGGTGCCTCATTCCGCTGGACCCACCAGCAGCCCTCAAAAGTGGCGACAGTTTCACAGATCGCAGCCCTCCAGAGATGGCGAGGTCTAATCTGAGTCCCCGTGGTGCCTCACTCCGCTGGACCCACCAGCAGCCCTCGAAAGTGGCGACCGTTTCACAGATCGCAGCCCCCCCCCAGAGATGGCGAGGTCTAATCTGAATCCCCGTGGTGCCTCACTCCGCTGGACCCACCAGCAGCCCTCGAAAGTGGCGACAGTTTCACAGATCGCAGCCCCCCCCCAGTGATGGCGAGGTCTAATCTGAATCCCCGTGGTGCCTCACTCCGCTGGACCCACCAGCAGCCTTCGAAAGTGGTGAAAGTTCCGCAGATCGCAGCCCGCCAAGGATGACGTGAAAGGCAAGATAAGAGAAGAGGAGGAGCGAAGAGAGGAGGAGAAGGCAAGCAAGGGAGGAGAGGAAGAGGGAAGAGAGGGGGGGCGGGAAGGAAGGAAGGTGGAGACCGCAGCGCTCTATTCAAAACGAGTACCCAACGCAGGAGGGTTGGGCAAAAACATGTTTTGAAACCTGGGGAACATCGCAGGTTCAGGCCGCTAAAGATCCCTACGCAAGGAATCAATGTGTAACCCGCCACACCAGGATTCCTCTTGTAATCCGCCACACAAGGGATCAAAGTGTAATCCGCCACAAAAGGATTCCCTTTGTAATTCGCCACAAGGATTTTCTTTGTAATCCGCAACAAAGGGATTTCCTTTGTAATTCGCCACACAAGGATTCCCTTTGTAATTCGCCACAACAGGTTCCCTTTGTAATCCGCCACAAAAAGAATCAAAGCGTAATCCGCAGCAAAAAGAGTCGATTTGCAATCCTCCACAAAAGAAAACAATTTGTAACCCGCCACAAAAAGAATCCATTTGTAATCCACCACAAAAAATCCGTTTGCAATGCACCACACAAGGAATCCTTTTGTAACCCGCGACAGAAGGAATCCTTTTGTAACCCGCACTCCCGCACTCCCGCACTCCCGCACTCCCGCCCACTGGCGGATTACAAAAGAAACAATTTGTAATCCGCCACAAAAGGAATCCATGTGTAATCCACCACAAAAGGAATCGTTGCCGTCGCCGTTGCCCTCGGTGTCTACATTGACCCCCCCCCCAACTTCCCCCCACTCTCCCGCGCCCTCTCCCTCCGTGCCGCCACCACGCCCAAATAGGGAGGGGAGGGGGGAGGAACGGTGAGAGGGAGGAAAGATAGACATGGTAACGGCTGCGTTGCAGAAGGAAGGAGGTGCGGAGGGGGGATGACAGCCGATGGGAGATGATAATAATGCGTGCGAAGGGCGTTTGTGAGGGAGGAATGGGTGGGCGGAGGGAGGGATGTGGCGCCCTCCCGCTACCATGTTTCTCAGTGTCTACATTGGCCACCCGCCCCCCCCCCTCAACTTCCCCCCATTCTCCCGCGCCCTCCCCCTCCGTGCCGCCACCACGCTCAAATAGGGAGGGAAGGGGGGAGGAACGGTGAGAGCGAGGAGAGATAGAAATGGTAACGGTTGCGTTGCAGAGGGAAGGAGGTGCGGAGGGGGATGACAGCCGCTCAAACCACCTCCGCCGCCTGCCCCTCTCCCTCTCCTACCACCGCCACCCTCGATGTTTGAAGGAATGAACGGTTAGTGGAAGGATGCGAGGCAGGGGGGGGTTGCGGCGATGCTGTAGGGGGCCAATGAGGGAGGCACGGGAGGACGAAGGAGAGAAAGCGAGACAGAGAGAGAGAGAGAGAGAGAAAGGAAGAGAAGGAGAGAGAGAGAGAGAGGGAGAGAGAGGACGAGAGAGTTGCTGGTAGTCGTGTTACTGGGGGCATGGTTCCCTCATGTCCCCCCTCTGCCTCCCTCGCGGATGCCATTCCAATTCCCTTCATCCGCGTTCTCCCCCTCCCCCCTTCGCACCGCCGCCCTTCCCCCATTCCTCTCTCCCTCCTAGTCGCTATCCCTCCCTTATTCGGGGTTTGCGATAACGCGAGAGACGGCGAGAGGGGTGGGGCAGGGGACACGGGACGATAGGGGGAGCGGATGGGGGCATTGAGATAAGGTCGCGGTGGGGGGCGGCCGATCTGGACGAAGGGAGGTGAGGGGGAATTGGGATGGGGGAGGAGATACAGAAAGAGAGAGAGAGAGAGAGGTAGAGAGAGAGAGAGATAAAGAGAAAGTGAGAGAGAGAGAAAGAGAAAGAGAGAGAGAGAGAGAGCGATAGAGAGAGAGAGAGAGAGTGGGAGAGAAAGAAAGGGCAGAGAGAAAGAGTCGTCATTAGAAATGGCCAAGAGAGTGGCCCACGGGAGTCCCATGGCATTTTAGACTGCAGCTAAGCGCGCGAAGCGCGCGCGTGGTTCTAGTGTGTATATATATATGTGTGTGTGTTTTGTGCACGCATATATCTATATATATATATATATGTATAGGTACCTGTATATATATATGGATGTATGTATATCCATGTGTTTACATCTATACATATATTTATATATGTATATATATGTGTGTATATATACATATGTGTGTGTACACATGTATGCGTATATATGTATGTGATTATAGTTATCGCTCTCTCTCTCTCTCTCTGTCTTTCTCTATCCCTCTCTTCCGGAGGGCGATTCGTCCTACGCTACTGCTGGCGGGCTGTTGCTGTTCACACCCGATGTCGGCCTCTGGCCGTCTCGAGGCCACCCAGCAAATAACGTGTGGGTGGCTTCGTGCCGCGGTCTGCTGCGAGAGGGAGGTCAGCTCCAGACAGCTGCAGAACACAGATGGTGCGGTGGTGGACCCGTAGGCTCTAGTGAGGCCTCCCGAGGGGCTCCTGGGGGGGGGCACCTCGGAGGCGCCATGGGAGAGCATGCTACGCATGGAATGAATTGAGTAGAGGATGAAGTGTTGGATCCGTGAGTGGATCAACCTAGACAGTACGATGATCAGAGGCTGTGATGCCTCTAGTGGTTTTGGGTCGGCTATGATGCCAACCTGGGCCGGGGTGCTGTCCAGTCGTTGGGCCACCTTTCGGTCCGTGCAGGATCGATTGTGCACACCTCCTCCTCGGTCGGGTATTCGGTCGGTGTGGGTGCATCTTGGGCCGCGCCCCCGGCCGCCCTGGCGGAGCCGCCCGGAGACCGAAGCGTCTCTCAGAAGGGGGCACCAGCGGCACCAACCTTCCCACCGCGCACCCCGCAAATGGCTTCGAGTCTCGTCCGGATGGCCAGACCACGAACGCACACAGCGGCCGAGCGGAACATGCAGGCGTGCGCTGGCTTCAAGTCGGAGGGAGGGCGGCAGGCCATTGCTTCGCACGTCTGTCTGCAGCGCAGCCCCCAGGTGCGGTGGCGGGAGTCCCAGTCCCCATCCCAAGGAGTTGAAGCTCGGGCCGGAAGCTCTCAGGAGGGAGAGAAACACACAGACACAATGAATCGTCGATTCTTAGAAAATATGGGAAAATATGGGAAGTGGAGGGGAAGACAAAAATCCAGAAAATATATGGAAATATGGGGGATCCTGTTATTTGTGTGTATTTATGTGTGTGTGTGTGTCCTCGGGCCCCTTGAAGCTCGGAGGGCGAGCCAAGCCTCGGGCGGCCCGAAAAGTCGCCACACAGGCGGCAGCGGGGGGAGGACAGGCAGAGAGGGAGAGATGTATATATAGAGAGAGAGAGAGAGAGAGCGAGAGCGAGAGCGAGAGAGGGAGAGAGCGAGAGAGGGAGAGAGGGAGGAAGGAAGGGAGGGAGAGAGAGCGAGACAGAGAAAAACATATCGAGAGAGAGAGAGAGGTAGGGGGAGAGGGAGGAAGAGAGCGAGAGGGAGGAGCCGCGCGCGCCGAATGGCGCTTTGGCAGACACCAGCGGTTCGCGGCGCGCGTGGCGGAGCAGCCAAGCCGAGGGGCCCTGGCGTGTGCATCGTGGCGCATCGTGTTTTTTTTTATCTATGCTTTGCCCAGCTGTCTGCGGCAAGCCACACCACCGTGCCACTGCCGCACAAGTCGGGTCCGATCAATCGGTGGGCCTTCCCTAAAGGATCTGGGGTTCCCTGGTGGCCTACTTGCTGCGGTGAACGTCTCCTTCGAGCCGGAAGCCCGGGTGGCCCTCCGAGGAAGCTCGTGCCCTCTTCCTGCAGCAAGTCCCGAACGCATCCAACTTCAGGGTCAGTTCAGCGAGCTCCCGAGCACGCCCGGTAAGACAATCTCGAGGCCGTCCTGGAAGCATTGCTGCGTTGCTGCGGACTTCTCTTGAGCTTCTTAGGGGGCCTCGCTAGAGCCTTTAGGAGGCCTGTTGGGGCCGTGTGCTCGTGCGGCTCGGTTTGGGGGCTCTAGGCAGTCTTGGACCGATTACCGAGCTCTCCTGAAGAGGCTCGGTAGGCTATCGCGGTCGGCTGAGGGCGTCTGGACGCGCCTTGTGGCCTACTTGTGGGGAGCATCCGAGCGCAAACGATAAGAATGCCTTTTTTCCCCTGAGGTAGTAGGGAGGATATTGAAGTGATGTTGATGATGGTCACAGTGATGCACCGAACAACAGTGGCGATGATGACAGAGACGCTGACGGTGATGAGGGTGACGTCAATGGGAGTCGTGGCAGAAGGCAGTGATGTGATTTTGATCATGGTGATCCCGACGACCAGAAGCAGGACAGTAATGATGACCACTGGATTATATAGACGGCGACGGCGAATGATGAGGATGATGATGAATCTGAATATGATGATGGTGATGATGATGGTGGTGATGGTGATGGTGATGGTGACGGTGATGGTGATGGGGATAGTGATGATGACGATGATGATGATGATGATGACGATGATGATGATGTTGATGATGATGATGATGGTGATGATGATCATGGTGATGGTGATGATGAGTATGATGACGATGAAGACGTCGACGTTGCGACGTTGGCCACAGGCGCCGCGGCGCGGCGTGAGCTGGCAACCGCGTTCGAGCACGCGCAGGACTGGCGGGGGATAGCCATTGACGCAGAAGCCTGGGCTAAGACGAGCGTCGGCACCCTCAATCAGTGGTTAGTTATGGCTCGTTTGTTCTTGCCGTGCTCCAAGTGGGCAGGCGAGCCACTGACCCGCCAGAGAGGTCTATAGGTGGGGGGGAGCTCGGGAGGGAAACAAAGTATCAATGACACGCCGCCAGTGGGGACTGTCAGCGTGTTGCTCCTTCGTTCTTGCCCGAAGACCTGCTGTTCGTCAACAGGTCCGCGCTGATGGACTTCTTCCGGCGGCGTGTCGTTTATATTTCTCTTGCTTCTCAGAAGTGTTGGGATGACTACAGTCAACGCGCCTAGCACGGACGCTCGCCTTCGTCTAAGATGCCCGTGTGTCTTTGCCTCTGCGGCCCGTCCTTTGCCGTTTTCACTAGTCGCACGCCGCCAACAAAAATCCACCTTCGGCCTCCAAGGGCCAAGGGTCTTGCGTCCTTACCATCCGTCCGTGATACACGTTCTGACTGCAGTCGCGCAGAAGCCCTCACCAAAGCAGGCGGTGGCACTCGTGGGGACACCCAGGGGCGTGAAGTTTCGGAGGTCCGCGCGGATTTCTGGGGTCGGCGCTGGGCCCTCCTGACGGCGCCTTCGACGTCGCACCTGGCGCGCTTCCCGCGCTGGCGCGCGAAGCGCGCCACTGATTCCTTGTCTTCTGTGAAATAGATCCTTCGAACTGTACCATTTCTTTCTTCCAGCCGATGCCTCACTCTGGCCGGAGGGAAGCGTGGGCGCCTGGAGGGAAGCGTGGGGGCCTGGGTTCTTGCTGTGGTCCAGGTCGACAGGCGAGCCACAGACACGCCGCACGGTGCCCGAATATTTTCCGAAACGTGAAGAGGGTATGCGTTTTGATCTGTGGGATTCGTGGTCTCTCCTCCTCCCTGAGGAGGGGCTGTGAGACATGCTATATCGGAAGGGGGTCGGGGGAGGGGGCCAGCCTGAGTAACGTACAGGGGCAAGAAGGCGCGAGCGTTCAGGGGGAGAAGGCTACAGAGAGAAGGCTACAGGCATGCACGACCACCCTTCGGGTGATAAGGAGGTTGTGGGGGGGGAGAGGGGAGGGAACCAACATCTGACTCAATCGATCTCACTATCGATCTCACTCAACGGGACACCACGGGACACCACGGGACACTTGTCGATCTCAATATCGATCTCACTATAGATCTCATTCAACGGGACACCACGGGACACCGCGGGACACCTCTCTATCTCACTATCGGTTTCACTATCGATCTCACTATCGATCTCATTCAACGGGACACCACGGGACATTTGTCGATCTCACTATCGATCTCATTCAACGGGACACCACGGGACATCACGGGGCACCTGTCGATCTCACTATCGATCTCATTGTCGGTCTCACTTTTTAGGACACCACGGGACACCTCGGGGCACCGCATCGATCTCAGTATCGATCGCACTATCGATCTCACTATCGATCTTACCATCGATCTCACTCAACGGGACACCACGGGGCACTGCGGGCCACCGCCGGACGGGCAGGAGGGGGAGAATCATTTGTCTTGACTTCGCCCTAGCAACGGCAGACACCACGGGACACCACGGGACACCGCGGGACACCGACGGACGGGCGGGAGGGGGAGAATCATTTGTCTTGACTTCGCCGTAGCAACGGCAGACACCACGGGACACCACGGGACACCACGGGACACCGCGGGCCACCGCCGGACGGGCGGGAGGGGGAGAAGCATTTGTCTTGTTTTCGCCCTAGCAGAGGCGGGTTCATTCCTCTCGCGCGCCCGCGCAGCTTCGCCTCGCCCGCACGCACGACACGAACGAAACGAAACGAGTTCGCGGTTGGGGGTCTCCGGTCCATTGCGATCTCACCCCCCAACCTCCGATAGAGATCGAGAGCGCGAGAGATAGAGAGAGAGAGAACAAACAAACATAAACAAACGAACAGCGCAACACATGCATAGATGTATGAATATATATGTACATGGTGACAATCGATCTCGCCACGCATATGTGTACATGTGAGCACCTGCGTTTATCGGTGCACATGCATGCATATAAGAGATTTGGGAAGGGCAGGGGTAGAGACACATAGGAGAGAGAGAGAGAGAGACAGAGAGGACGAGAGCGAGAGAGAGAAAGAGAGAAGGAGAGAGACCGACAGAGAGAGAGAGAGAGACATGCAGAGCGACGGAGGGGAGAAAGATAGAGAGTGTGTGCGTGTGCGTGCGAGGAATAATGAGAGAGAGAGAGAGAGAGAGCGAAAGAAAGAGAGAGAGAGAGAGAGAGCGAGACAGAGATGAACAAGAGTGGGTCATGCACCCAGAGTTCCGACTTGTGTTTCCTAGACATGCCGACCCCTTCCCGGGAACCGGCATCTTCGACCCGGATATTGTCATTGACGGCCCTGGGTCTTGGACAATGCCTCCAGGA